AGCGGACTACTTTTAAAATACCGTGTGGAGGCTTTTTGATGTAGGAGGTGATGGTTAAATCTGTCGAGTTACAAAGTCCTTCATGCTCCTACAACAAATCATACCTCTGGGGATACTGATCCAGCAAAACTTACACTCAATTTCTTAAATATTTTAAAGGATGTTTTTGGAAGTTCCTACTTCGTAATAAAGTTTCTTTAAATCACCCTTGTAAATATATACTCACAATAAAGAATAAGAAGTGGTAGTTCAAACTAGTAATTGCTTTGAAAAAAAAATTTTATCGCCGACTTTTCTTCTTTGTTCGAATATATAATTATAAATAAGCAGTTGTAGCTTACAGACTTTGTTCCTAAAAGGGAAAGGTGAGAATAATGAATCGTTCTATTGTATACTAACTCTTTTTTTTCTGGATAAGCAGCAGCCTTGATAATATCAGTCAGGGCTACAACTTACCAAGAAAAGATAAGAGACTCGTGGTAAGATTTAAGAACATTTCATTTTAATCTTTCTTTCATGAAAAATATACTTACCAAAAGTACCACCGTTTATCGATAAGTGAAAGATAAAATAAAATTGCACCTTTGTTACATTAGTTTCCTATCAAAGTGTTTACCTATGCCCAAAAAAAAGAAAAAAATTAAAATGTTCTTATTACCAGTTTAATCGTTTCCGGTTGAGTATGAGCCCTGACTCGTGTCATTAAATAAACTTTATAAAAAATTGTCATTTTTTTTTTCTGCATTACTACTAAGAACCAGAATCAAAACATGAAAAGGAAATATTGTTTTTCATTTTATTTCATCTAAAATTGACGGAAATGTACAGATTTCTCAACGACCATAAATGTTTGACAAATCAATGCCAAACTCTTGAATGTTGAAGAACAACCCCGCTTCAAGGTTATGACGTCAAAATGCAAGTCGTTTCCGGAGATTTGTGATTTTTCAGATTAATCATTCTGACAAGAATGAGAAATTTGCTCGTTTGAAACGCTTCCAAAAAACATAACACTTGATTTAATGTATATCAGAGTAGCTTAAGGCTATGTATTAGATTTTTACCGTCCAATATTTTAAACGTTTATTTTATTATTTTGCGAAATAGTATTAAAATCTGTTTTAGGATTAACAGTTCATTATAAACAGAAACGTTTTAATTTTTATCGTCTACTAGCGAAATAATTTGTTGGTTGCAATGAGAACATTGTATTATCTGTATTGTTTACGTTGTACATTAATGTACAATGTACAATTACAATGTACAATTACAATTGTATAATTTTGAAAACTTTTTTAAACATTCCATATCAAATAAGTATAACCAAGAGATGTTTCATATAAGTCTTTGAATAATTTCGAAGTAATGGTGAGTAAAAACTAAGTCTAATTTACTAAACCAAGAATTATGCATTAAAAATTAATTTTGTTACCACTAGAAAATATTTATCCGTATTCACGAGCAATTTGGTCTTTCTGCAAAGGTTGAAATGGTCAGTCTGATTATAAGTATCCAAATACTTTTTGTTGTTGCTTGGAAGCCTCTTCCCAAATATCAACAAGCTTGTTTGGTGAAATCAAGCGAATTTAAGGCAGAGGGTGGGCTTCATTTTTTTCAGTGACGCCATCTATTGCCAAGAATACGTCCTCAGCCGCACACACACGACACAGCCCGTTTTAAAGGGCAGATTTATTGATAAATCTATTTATTCATGAACAGATCGTTATTTTTGACTGAACCAGAGAACGATCAATCTCCAATTTAGTACGAAGCATTGATACGTTGCTGTAACTTGGAGGACTTTGTCACCTTACAGATTTAGCGTGCACTAATCACCAGTTACTACACGGGGAGTCTTCGGCCTGCGCTCTTGGACATAGTTTCAAAGCCAATTCAACTAGCTGTTCCTTTTTTCATTAATCCAATGACGCAGGTGGGATACCAGTGACCATTTATATATATATATATATGACACTCTAATTATAAGTCAAAATATAGCTCGGTATCTTTTAATTATAATAAACATCAAATCTTTTCTAAAAAATTTGTCATATGTTCGGAATTTTATTTGTGCTAAAATATAAAAAAAATAGTTTGAATTTTTTTTCATTCATAGCCAGAAATTTATCAATAAATAATTTTGTAAACTAAATCAAATTTAATGAGCTTAGATCTAAATAATTGCAAATATATGCTAATTTGAAAAATTGGAAGTTTCATCTTTTACGCATGAAATAGAAGCCAATGTTCCATGCGCTACTTCAAAATCAGAAATTATTAAACTTCAACTTATAATATTTTTCATTTATTTTTACCTAAATTAATGCGAATACTGAAGAAAAGTATAAAATATATGTTGAATCAAAATTCTGCGTCAAAGGGTTATGGTGCTTTTATAATTACTTCAGAATGTTGCACCTTTGCAATAGTTATCCAGAAAGGATAATAACCAATTACAGCTGTAAGAAAACTTTAAAAAAAATTCTAAAAACATTAAGGAGTCGAAATTTCTGAACTCTAACAGAAAAAGTATGATAAATTTTTAAATATAATGTGATAAAATATAATAATTTTTAAATATAATGTGACAAAATATGATAAATTTTTACCAAACTATATTCAGTAAGTAAACGTTTATGTATTTAGACTTAAATTAAAATAATTTTCAAAAAAAAATTGCCTAGTTTTAAGTTATTGAATTTCTTTTTACTTAGTGATAAAAAAAAAAGTATCTCAAGATGCATTAATGGAAATTGAACAAATATAGCAGGTATTTTGTGAAATAGCAAGTACTTTTTAAGGAAAGTATAAAAAATCGCCCGGCATTTAAAAAGAAAAAAAGTCATCGAATGTTTTCAATGCTGAATACTTGATTTTTAAAATAAAGATGGCTTTTTTCTCTCTTGCTTCTGAAAAAGTTCTATTTCATTCTTGTGTAATTAAAATAACGCCCATTTATTCTCCATGTAATTTTCTTTTTTTTCCCCCTTCTTCTTTCTTTTTTTGCATTGCTATGATAATCGATCAAAAAGTGCAATTTAATAAGAAATGGAAGGTAACAAACAGTGGAAAATTTCATATTTCTGGCTCGTTTTAAATGCCGGACGATTTTTTCTTTCGTCATTAAATTCTATCATAAATTCCCCATTTCAAACAGTTTCATTTCACTTCATCAAGAGAGAGAATATTTTTTTTTGTAAATATTTTTCCTTCTGTGTTAATGCCTTTTTTTTTAGCCCATAGCAGTTATTAAATTTTCTCTGTTCATTACTTTCAGTTTACTAAAAATAATTTTTTCGTATTTTTAAAAAAAATTATTTTAACTTATGATTTACGATTTAACTCGTAAATGTCTACTTAATGCATATAGTGCCATAGAAAGATTATTAAAGATGACACATGAGGTTTATCAATCAAGAATAATTTTTAAACTTCTTCATAAAATGAGTTAAGAGGGGGGAAAAAGTGAGCGAAATTTTAAATACGTTAAAGTTCTCAGACAACAAAATTTTTTGACTTAAAAAAAAAAGGGAAAATTAGTGTTTATTTAAGATAAAGAATGTAATAACCTTAAGTGAAATTTTGGAAAGCCACTCTGGCAAAAACACTTTAAAATTAATACGGAAATAATAGCACAGATCAACATTAAAATCTTTAAGTGATCATTACATTATGTTCCTGTCCTCGTAAAAAGCATTTCTTAAAGGCAAATAATTTTAGCATTATAATGTGTAATCAATATTAACTTTTTCTGAATGCAGTTTATTAATAACCCTCTGAAAATCCTTAATAACACTCAAATACACATAGCTGTTTTAGTCCCCTCCCTAAAAGTTTTCACCTTTCAACTGGGAAGGGGAGGTCAATATTTGAAACGTATTAATTAATTGAAGGCAGATTTATTGTCATAAAAGAAAACTGTTATTAAACAGCTGTCTTAAAGTTCAAACTTTTTTTTTTATAATGCAGCAAAAATGATAGAAAAAACAATTTCTCAAGGAAAAAAAAAATGCTATGGAATTTTTTATTTCACTGACGAGTTAAAATAGCGAAAAGTGCGGTATTCTTACTGTGAATGACTATAAGCAAAAACATTTCGCCTTTTCATTATTTCCTAAAGGAATTCATTACTCTTTACCAATCTTTATTCAGCTATGCGACAATCATTCATTTCCCAGAGTTTTCATGTACATTTTTTAATATATAGTACTTTTATTTATTTTACTTTTGTTTGTATATTATACTACTGTACACTGGTGATCGAAATGGGGAACAGGAGACTTAGAGCAGAACTCTCAACTTATGGCAACATTTTGCATGATTTCATGATTAGCGTGTGGAGAGTTATAGAAGAAGTAAGTACGTAAGATTCTGAGTTGATTTTCAAATAGATTAAAAACTTTTAAGTTATGAAGCTATATGGAATTGAAAACTACATTGAATAATATAAATCTAAAAGAAGGATCCGTAGAAATTTAATAAAATACGAAAAATAATAAGAAAGTGGAACTGAAAGTGCGACAGGTCAAGACATGAAACCTGTCTTCTCCCCAGATGGCGAATTCAAGCGTTGCGATCGAGAATTATAATTTATATTTGACTTTTCAATGATTTTTTTAAAAAAAATCTTAAAATAATTGCCCGCTTCGGTAGCTCGACGACCTGCACGCGAAGTCGAGCACTTTACGGTAGAACGGTTTAACGAGCACCAATACCGCACACCCTCGGTCCCTACGCAGGCTGATACAAGTGGTCACCCACTCGCACACTGACAGCAGTCAGTGATGCTTGACTTCGGTGATCTGCTGGGAACCGTGTCTTAATGATCAGTCCACTGCGGGACAGGTAAAATATAAAAGGAAAATATTATTATCCGATCTGGGTGTCAATTTCGCAGATGCAACAATTACTATGAGTCTGATTGGTGCATCGTGCCCGCAGTTAGTTTCTAGGTTTATTAGTGGGAATAGGCTTGAGATCTTAAGTTTCTCGGCAGCATGCCTGACACTCTTTTATATTAACGATTTGTAGCTGAAGTGAAATAAATGACGAATAACTTCTGCTACTGAAACAAAAATGGCTGCCGTTAATTTGTTTACGTTTTGGTATGCATAAAGTTGGGACATATAAAAATATGGCTATTCAAATATTCTTTCCTACTTAAAAATTAGCAAGCATGAGGTAATTTGAAAAATAAGTATGAAGCTTAAAATAGCTTTATTTTTTTAAATAATTGTTTTTATTTTGTTCATAATTTGGTTCGCTCACTTAGTTTCTTGTATTTAATATTCTTGAATTTCAAATTAAAGTTTTTTACAATGACAATCCTTTTTTCTATTGGAATATTTCGTGTTATATTTAAGTTTAATTGTACTATATGGAGCGTTATGTAATACACTTATATTATTTAAATAACATTCTTGTTCTAGATAATAATAATAAAAAAATCAATTTATAATATCCAAGTTTTTTGAACTCAATCTAATAAAAAAATAAGTAGTATAAGATTTTGAAATGTTAACAACGAATTCATATAATTTTTTAGATTTATGCTAATTGCTACTCATTCATTTACATATTTAAGAACGTATGTAATTTTTCCCCTTCTCACATAGCTTTTCTGGTGTTTATTCTCATAAGATAGGATGTGAGATAATCATATTTTGTAATTACCGTAATTTCGGATGTTATTTTCAAGTTCTTCCAGTGTACTGTGAAACTTGTTGATAAATTCTTTGATTTTTTAAGCGTTAAGCATTGATTACAATATCAGCTCTGTGTTCTTACTTTTTTACTGCAAGAAAATGATCATAACAACTACATGCAGATATTTTTTCCTCATCTTTTCAACAAAGGTTTATGTTCAAAACAGAAATCAAAATACTTATTTTAAACTCCATTATAAAATACTTAAAATAATTTATAAACTTTCTAATGGAGTTTAAAATGAGTCAACTCATTAAATACATGAACAATAGAAAAAAAGTATGATATTCCTTTGAAATACTTTATGAATAAATTTTTTTTTGTTTATTAAATAACCCATTTAAATTTGAGATTGAAGTACAAAAGAAAAAACTTTTATTGATCCTCCTCTCTTCTTAATGTGCAAAACAAGAAAACTCCTAGTGATTCTAAAATTTATTTGCAAATACCTTAATACTTATTCATAATACTTTACAACATATGGTAAGCTTTTGCTGTTTTTGACAATTTGCAATAATCTAAGCCTTGGCGACTCGGATAAATAGCTGTAATGTTGGGCTACAATAATGGGATTGTACCTTTTGGGTCTACGGATAATACCTCTCCAGTTTGACCTATTAACTATTCACCTAAGGTACAAGCATCCCTGGGATATGGTTACAGTGTTTTCACTACAGCGCGAGAACGCGAGAATCTCACATATTTTTTTCTTTTCTCGCATTAAAAAATGATTACCGTGAGAAATTTGCGCATTCTATAAATCAATTTCAAAATTCGCGAATTTCTCGCATTTTGGAAAAAGCTTCGAATTACGCCATTTAGAATAAAATCCGTTTCAGTTTTCTTACTGGATCTTTCATTATTTTCAACATCTGCCCCATTATCTAGCTTCCCTATTTACCAGTATTGTTCAGAACCTTTTCGAACAACAGAACACAACCACGGAACCCCTTTCAGAACACATTTGTCTGCAACCAGGCGTTTACCGTAGGTAAGGTTTCTTCATGTAAGACGTTCAAATTTTTTATGCACTTATGCAAGATGGACAAATACCTTGTAAAGGCAAAGTCTTCTATGATGATGCATCAAAAATATTCAATGCTTTAAAAAATAGAGGACATTAAAAATGTATTATAATTAAAGAAATGATTTTTTTTCAAGGGTTTTTGTGTTTTTTTAGAAATCTCACCCTGTGTTTGAGAAAGAGTTAGAAATTCTCACCCATTTTTTTTCTATGATGAAAACACTGGGTTAGGTTTAATTAAAAAAATAATAAAATTGTTTCAAAATTTTTTATTGTGAAATCGCTAAAAAATACCGCTTTCAAAAATTTTTCGCTTTAAAAAAATAATAAAATAAAATGAAAAATTAATCTTGCAGAAAATTTTTTTGCAAAAAGGAATAATTAAAATTGTCTTCCCTAATAAACAAAAGTGTGTTAAAATTAAATTATTATCATAGTTCAATGTATTTTTTCATTTATTCAATAATTTTATGAAGTTATATAATTTTTTTTTTGTTTGTTTATGAAAAAATTATAAATAATTGAAACAATGTGCAAACTTAATTTTCTAAAAATATTTTGAAAATATTATTTGCAATGTTTAGAGATATCGTTTTACCTGTTCTGTGTTGTTTTTCTTTTGGAAAAACAAATTATCAAATAAGAAAGCTGTGTATTTAGAATCAATTTTTATAGAAGCTTCTCTAATAAGGAAACTCTTTTAAGTTTAATAGAAATAGAGTTTTTTTTTAAATGATTGTAAATTGGTTTTTCTGAATCAAAATTTGATTTTTTAAAAGGAATACTTAAGTAGATTCTACAATAAAATAGAAAATCTATTTTGGGGGCATTTCTTAAAGTAAAAGCCTATTTGTTGTTGTGAGACCATTGGCGTACATGATCTGTTTTTCAAATTTAAATATATCGTTTATTAAATACATTTAAACTGTGCCTGTAATAAAATATGTTATTTTTTTATGTTTCTTGACACATTATTGATTTTATTTTATAGATTAAATGTTTATTAAAGTTCAATGGAAAACGTGTAAACAGATGTAAGTATAACAAATTTTCCCTTAAAAATTTTTTATTATATTTTCTTTATCTGTTTGTTCATGTGCAATTGTAAGATCCTCAATAATTAAACAATATATAAATTGTTATTAAAGTAATGCCATTTCTTTGTTTTGTTTTTTTAAAATAATCATTGCTGTCATATAATATTATGTAAATTCTGTAGTATCCATGTTAATAATTATAAATGTTGTACATATGAGTTTTATAGGCAAAATACAGTGGTCAAATCATTTAACCTATTTTTTGTATGATGTTGCAACTCAGATGTTTTAAGTATAAACACTATATAACTTTCTAGTATAACATAGAATAACTTACCATTGTTATTCAAGAGGCTGTCTTTCTAAAAGTATAATCAGACTTAGATGAAAAACTTACCTTGAACATAAAATTTCAGATAAAAACTTTCTGAAAACAATTTATTTACTGTTGTGACTGGTTTCAACCCTTTCACCATCCTATTTTGAAGAAATTTGTTTGAAGTTTTTGTTAGTCGACCTTTCGTTAGTTGTGTTTACATTTGGATATTTCTGAGGTAGATGTGTTTGAGGATTCTTTTCATGACGTTCTTCACAGCAAAAGCAGCATTTCACTTTCTATCTTAAACTTGTTTAATTGTTCATTATTTAAAACATTAGATAAGGATATTTCAAAGAATTTTTTTTTTAGAATGTTTAGTAATACTCAAAAAGTTCCCCAACGTTGATAAATTTTTCACGAATGACGTTCCCACATTTGTGCATATCTGGGTATAATATATTCAAATTAGAATTTATAGGTTGAAGCAAAATTTTAGTGTAGCAATCATTAGATAATGGGAAAATTTTTTTCCACTCCTGAATTAAAAGATAAGAATTAATGCAAGACATGTTCAAATTTGTTTGAGCACCCACACTTGTATAGTTGTTTATTTTTTCTCTCTCTTGGAAATGATGAAATTCAGAGTTTCTCATCGCAAATAAGGCATTATTAAAAACATTGATGCTGTGTCAGTTTGCATTGTTTGAAACTGATTACTATGCATCTGAACCGTTTTTCGGGAATTCTCTTTCCTGCCAACATCCGCTACATGTGGTATGGGCCAATGTGGTATTTGGATTGTATTTGTATTTATGCAGATAAATGTGATGATCAGGAGAGGGGAGGAAGCAAATGTTTTGATTCCCTGGTGTAAATTTGCTTGGAATGGAATTCAATATGCTGATATTTTGTTTAAATTTAAGGAATTACCAAGTCGTTTTGATTCGTAATGAATTTTTATATTGAAACAATGCGTATGTTTTCATCTCTGTTTATTTCAAGTTTAAGTGCTATTGCCGGAATCCTATTCCTTGATGTTTTTTTAAGCTATCTACACTGCCTGCATAAATTATGAATATTTAAATTAATTTTGAAGGGATGCGAAGAATATTAGTATGTAAGATGCAAGACTATCATATTTAAAGGTATTTTGTTTTGAATAGTGTACTGTTACTCCCAGGAATGTTAGCTTTACTGTATTATGCATTAAGAAGTATATTTGTTTATGTGAAAAGATTTAATTTGGATATGGGGTTTATTAAAAATTTAATACATTTATAATTTCTCTGCATCTGCTAATATGATGATTAAAGATTAGTTTTACATGTTTTATAAGTGAGTAACTTCGATATGTTTATTGTCTGTTTTTTATGATATGCATATTTATCATTGTAAAATAATAGTTTTGTGTGTGTATATTGCTATATTTTTATGCTCTTTGCAAGAGACTGGTAACTAAACTCTTGCTTGGGGAAAAACATTAAATTTTAATCTGCCATTCTTTTTTATTTAGGAAATACATGTTTTTTGTTGTTAAAAATGACTGTAATATGAATAATTTTTGAATTTAATAATGTTGCAATATTTGATTTTCTTTTTGGAATGCAATGCAAGTGGTGCCAATAAAAAAGCTGCAAAGTGGAGGGAGAGAAAAAAAATTGCTGAATATTAGGTGCATACAAATAATAAAAGAGTTCCTATTATTCTTTTACACCTCATAATAGCCATTGAGAGCAAGCATAATAAATGTGCTTTTAACTAATTCCAAATATTTTGTAGCTTAAAATTTCTAACAGTAGTTTTTGAAAATGTTATTGTTATTTCCTATTGCTTAATAGATTTTGAGAATTGTGGATGGATTTTTTAAATTCATTTTCGTGCATGGCAAATGAAAGTAACTATCCATCATCAATTAAAAAGATTTGTCTAGCACTTGTCTGGAGGCACATTTAATGCTGGTAAAACATTTTTAAAACTACTCAAAATTTCTTTCTTCAAATCAATTAAATCTAGTGTCGGAGGAATAAAAGACTTATTTATACCTACTTTTTTTTAAAAAACTTTTTGTTGTTATGCATGAAAGGATCAATAAATTGAACAACTATTTTTACTAAGCAGAATTTTTTATTCTCAGACTTATACCTACCTTTGTCTAAACTTATACCTACTTTCATTATGTGTTTGCATTGTATACGTAATCACTTTGATCAATTGTTATCTATATGCTATATAAATTAGGCTGTAATGATTTCGTTTATTAATTTTTTTTATCATACAGAATTATTAATTATGTTATCCTAATTGCATTATAGTTTCAACTTGGTACTTTTTTAGTGAAAATTTTCCCTTGAAACTGTCACAAAAATGAATTTTAACAAATCTATATATTTGTATGGTGTATTTAATATGGTGCATTTGTAAAAAATTGCATTAGTAATTCCCATCAAGCTTTTTCCCATCTGAATGAAATAACTAAATTTGTTAAAAAAAAATATGTTTCCCTATTAGCTGTATTTTTACTTTAATAACAATTTTTATTTTATTTTAGAGGAAACCATAATTGAGCTATTTTATTTATTTTCAGATGCTTTCAATTGTCTTTATGTGCATTATTTTTAAAGTCAGGGTTACCTTAAAAGAAGGGTCAATCATTTAGGGTTCCATAGTGCAAAATTTTGGAATCACTGCCATAGAGTTTTAAAAATAGGTGTGCAAGAACCGGAAAAGATGTTATAATTATATTTAACACGTAAGAATTGGTAATTTTTTAGAGAACAGATGCGAAAATATGTCATAGTGCACTTTTGACCCTCTGATTCATTGGCTGAATCTTACTTTTAGAAAATTGTTATGATTGGCCAAACTATTTTGATAACCAAAGAAATATCAATAAATCATATATTAAAAAATTCTTGAAATATTGATGCAACTAATTCTATTAACAAGGGAATTTAAAAACGGGCAATAAATGTATATATTAAAATATGCATTAAAGCAGGGTTCGTAATCTTCCTGATTTTCTTGATAAAAAAAAAACAAAAACATTATGCCCTTATTTATCCTGAATATTTCATGTTTTGTGATGATATTCCTAATTTTTTTTTTCTTTTTTTTTTCCCGCTTTTTTAGAACTTAAATGTTCAATGTGCACTGGATTTTAAAAGAATCTTTTGAAGTTTTTTTGAAATCACTTTCACTAGACCAGAAGTAACAAAAATTAGATTTTTCTATGTCAAAACTAGTAATTCAAAAATGTAGCATGCTTTTCTTTTACTCCTAATTGGAGCAATAGAGCTTCTATTGCAGCTCTCCATCTATATTTGTGGCCAGATATTTTGCCTCTCTCCATGTCTTTCCCGTTGTCTTCGATTCACATTTAATTGTCCTGTGTCAAATATTTTTAGGTCTTCCTCTTTTTCTATTGCCCTTAGGGTTTTTCTAGTTTATGTAGAACATGACCAATCCATTTACATTTTTTAATTTCCATATCAATCGGTTTCTGTATTGCAATAACAAGCTAGAGGAGGTAAATAGTTTAACGTGTCTTGGAAGTATGAATAACAGCAAAGGAGGAACTCAGGAAGATTTACTAAATAGATTAAACAAAGCCCTGAAGCAGTTAGGTTTTCAATTCTTATGTTAAATCTGTCCTCCATAGATCTGAGACATAGTACTGCTATAAAAATAACAAGAAAAAACTTTGAATCTTCATTTACTACATGTAATGCAAGATTGAATGTAATACCACATGATATGTAAGAAGAATATTCTGCGTCAAGTGGTTTTATAAAATTTGTAATGCAGAAATCTTTAGAAAAGACGAAAGTATTTCAAAAAGTAAAATCTAAAATGTTTTCCAGGTGAAAAGGAGTTAGCATTAAAAATTGAACCACTCCTTTGTCTTCCTCTTTTCCTTAGCCGAAAGAATTATTGCTAAATCAATATTGGAACAAAAAATTTTTTAATTAACCCTATCCTTTTTTTTTTCAGAATTGTTTTATATTTTTGGTATACACTTTTTTTCATCATAAGTCAGTAACAGACTCTAAGCTCATGTGCAGCAAATGTAATATACAGCATTAAATTAATGATTCTGTTTAGCCTATAAAATTAATATTTAGTAACTGATTTATTATTATTTTTTTCCAGTTTTACATGCTATTGAAAGAATGCGTGAAATGAGGAGAAATCATCTAACCCACAGTTCACGAGCGGTTCAGTTCGAATCTCCTTCTCACATGGGGACCCTTCTCAGCGGTCTAAATACCCTCAGAAGTAAAGGTTTGCTTCTTGACATAACTCTTGTCGCTGGAGGCCAGTCATTTCAAGCGCATAGAGTTGTCTTGGCATCATGCAGTGATTACTTTCGTGCCATGTTTACTGATGCCATGAAAGAAAGTCAGCAAAGTGAAATTTGTCTAAATGGCGTGACTGCCGATGGCATGCGCTATCTTCTAGAGTATGCTTATACCTCTAAACTTGCATTAAGCCTTGCTAACATACAAGATGTTTTATCAGCTGCAAATCATGTACAGTTAATTGCTGTAGTCGAAGCTTGCTCTTCTTATTTGAAAGAGCAACTAGATTTAGATAACTGTGTTGACGTTGCCACAATTGCTGAAATGTACTCGTTGCAGCAGCTTTTGAAAGAAGTGTACCTCTTTATATGTGGTAACCTTCAGAAGTTTTCTGGGAAATCTGAATTTCTGAGACTCTCTCCTTTTCAACTTGAGCATATTTTAAAATGTGACTTTCCTGTCGATTGCTCTGAACGAGATGTATTAAGTGTTGTTCTTAAATGGATCGAACATCAACCTCATGAGAGAGTGAAGTATATCCACCAGCTTGTCAGGCACATACACTTCAGTGAAATTTCTGTTGCAGATATAACATCATTTTTCGAATCTCCTATCTTGAAGTGCCTTTGTTTGAGCAGTACTCTATGGAGTCGCTTGTGGCATATGCAACCTCACTCTTTGTGGCAAGAACAGATGCCTCTCATTAATTCTCGAGGAATGGAATTGGCCATTTTGAAAGTTGGTGGATTTGGTATAAGTGGTGTTACAAATGATATTGCATATTACTTATCTAGTGTTGGAAAATGGCGTTATTTGACATCTATACCCCATGTGGAGCAATGCAATTTCGGCACAGCTGTTTTGAATAATGAATTATATATTGTAGGTGGATGCTTTAATCAAAGTTTGCAAGAAAATGTCCACCCTTTTGGATTCAGATATAATCCTTTGACTAACTCTTGGTCAACAATGGCTCCAATGCAAAAGGAGAGATGCCGCTTTTCATTAGGAGTGGTGAACAACCACCTGATTGCTGTTGGTGGTGCCGGTGAATCTGGTGAGTTTGATGTTTTAGACGACACTGCTCCTTGCGAGAAATATGATCCTCTGAGTGATCAATGGATTCCGATATCGCCTTTACCGGGATCAAGAGCTCAGCATGCTGGGACATCTTGGAAAAATTACTTTTATATTTGTGGCGGTTTGGATCAAGACCTGGTCTTAAATTCTCTTTGGAGGCTAAATACCGAAACAGATCATTGGGAAATCCGTGCTCCCATGATCACCCCTAGAGCTGATCATTCTATGGTGTGTTGTGGAGATAACATATATGTTTGTGGTGGCTGGTACGATGATGAAACTACTGGAAGCAAAGTGTTGGTTGACACAATTGACTGTTATAATACAACTAGAGACACATGGACGGTAGTAACCAGGGTTCCAACTCCTCGTTATCATGCTGGTATTGTTGTGATAGGCAAAGGACTGTATATTGTGGGAGGCTTTCACAGTGCGACAACTTTTGACCGTGCTAGTGGTGTTGTCGAATGTTACAATATGGAGACTGGTAAATGGACGGTGGGTGATAATTATCCACAAGCCATTTGGGAACATGCTTGTTGTACTCTTTATGTGCCTCGTTGTAGAGATGACTTGGATGTTATACCAGATAAAAATTTGCTTTGATACTCCTTCACAAGACAATAATGCACCACATGTAATTTAAGGCATGACAATAATTTCATCACGTATTGTGTAAGAATTTAAATTAATTTGTTATGATATTTCATTCGCAAATTCTTTTTTCATAGTCATGTGGAGCAAGCAAAGTTAAAATATTTTTAGTCATATCTTTAGAGAGAGTTTATTTTGACAATTCATATTTAAATTTTTAATATGTCTTGAGATTGCTCTAATTAATTTACTCATTATAATTGCACTTTAGGCTTATAATATGAAAAATTTAGAAAAAAAAGTTTTTATGCATGAATGTGCTTTATTTATGAGGATAATAAAGATGGAAAAAAAATTCATGGCATATTATATTGTCTAAGAATTAACTTTAATCTATATTAGCGTTTTTCTTTTCTTTCCAAAAATGTCTTAGCATGGGAAACAAGGAAAGTTAAAATATTTTTAGGTATATCATAGAAAATTTATTTTGACGGTGAACGTTCAAATTCTTAATGTATATTAAAACTGCAGTAATAAATTAATGTACTCTTTGTACATTTGGTGTAAAAAATGAAAATTTTTAATATTTTAGAATCTGCTTTATTTTGGGCAAGGCGGAAACAACATTAAAAAAAAAAAGAAAAAAATTCATGGCATGTTAGAATTTAATATAATTTTTTTTGTTGATAGTAAATGTTTTTCATAGTCATAAGCAAGTGAAGTTAAAATTCTTTGAGTCATGTCCTTGGAGAATTATTTTTGACTTTGTAAAGTTAAATTCTTTTTAATATATGTCGTAACTGCTGCAATAAACTAATTTACTTCTTGTATCAGCACATTAGGCATGTGGACTAAGATTTTTTTAAACTTTTTATGCATGAATATGCTTTATTTTGAGTAAGGAAAAAAAGGTCCTTGCAGGTATGACAAAAACTTAACTAAACATTTTTATCTTTAACTGCTGCTATATAAATAAAGTATTTTAATTTTTCATGCTTATTTAGAGCAATTTTGCAGTGAAATTCTGCGTGCTACTCAGACAATTTAATGTTTTAATTAAGAAGCATTTTTGAAGGATGTAACTATGCTTAAAATGTCTTTACACGTAATGCAAATACATGTAAGTAATTTTAGTCATATTTATATAAAAAAAAAATTTAAGCTTCTAAACACATGCAAATCAATAAACTTACAGTAAAAATTACGACTTTTTATTTCTGAATAATATTTAAAAAAAAAACATTTTTTTTTTATTATTGAATACAGAATTCATATTTATCTATTATTAAATAATAGATTAATAATATGTCATAATATATAAATTCATAAATTTCATGTATTTTTATATTTCAAGACTGAATGTAGTGCAGTTTTATTTTTAGTTGATTTTTAAAACCTACTTTGAGTAAAAGTAATTTTTATGCACTTCAAACATTAAAAGCTTCAGATCTTATCTACTAAGAATAATTTATTTTGAATTCAATTTTTAGAACTGCAAATGGAGTATTTAGACAAAATGGTCAATATTAAATTGTTCAAATTATTAATTTGGCAAATTTTAAATTAGACTTATTAATGCCTTTTTTATATTTATTTATTGCAATTTACTTGGTGTTTTTTTGGCACATTTTTGTGTTTGTAAATAATTTTTTGATTAACATCCTGAAACTTAATTTCATAATGAATGTCATATAATCTAACATTACTTTTTGTTTAAATATTATGGCTTTGCTTGTGAGTTTGTTATGTATATAAGATATATATTGTACATAAAATGTAATTTTAATGATTATACTTGCACAATGAACATACAAGCCAATGTATTAAGCATGTAAATACCCAGTACTTTGAGAAGTACTTTTATTGATAGATGCCATAAATATGATCTGTTTGTGAGGCAGTTTGTTAGTCATATTTTGCTTTGATTTGTGATAATGTGTATGTTAAGAGTGGCTTCTATTCGTTGTTGGTAGGATTTTTAGTAAATTGTCCGCTAATCACTGGTGCTAAATTTTTATATTTCTGCTGACATAGAATTATTAAAAAAAAAATGAAATACCTCTACATCAGGAATACAGATATTTATTCTGGAGAAGTAATTTTTAACAGTGCCTTTATACTATTGCTGGGATGCCAACAAACAAAACTTTTATGTTGCTACAATTTTTTGTGCTTAACATCAATTTTCCATGCTTAACATTTTTCGTGCTTAACATTAGGGCTGCATAACTATTTTGGTCAGCATTTCACAAAGACTAGAAAGTGTCATATTAAGGTCTAACATAATGCTGTAATCTAAAAAATATGGTATATATTTAGATTCTATTTGAAAGTATTACGGAATGATTTATATCTGTATAACTATTTTTTTTTACTCTAGTGCAGAAAATATAAACTAAATTAGGTAACTAAGAATAATTGATGTTAGTAATTCTAGACAGATATGTTTTTTTTCTCTTTTTTTTTCAGAAATTATAATTTAGATTACTAAGAATAATTAATGTAAGTAATTCTAGACAAATAATTTTTTTTTTGCTGGAAATATAAATTAAATTAGATAACTAAGAATAATTAATTTAAGTTATTCCAGACAGATTATTTCTTTTTTCAGTATTTGGGTAGTAGTAGTAATTTATTTATGTTACATAAGGGCTGCACAATGTACAATTGATGACCCTAAGGATGATCTGAAAACAGGTCATCAAAAATTTGTAAGTCAGCGTATTTTGCTACCTTACAGCTTTCTTATAATACAGTTGTATGGAATCTCTCTCACCACTAACTTTTCTCTTGAATTTTTTTACATTGAATTTTATTTTTGAAATATTTTCTCATTGCTATTTATTGTTTTGTACTTTAAATCTACAATTTCCAATTTTTGTTAGTTTGGTATTGTTAAAGCGCAAAGTTAACTCTTTAGTTGTTAAAAATTCGATTTCAATAAAACTTCTACTGATTTTTCTTTCCTTCTTTTTTTTAAAAAAAGTAGGAAGAATTTGTTTACTGTCAGTGAAAACTAAAGTAAATTGTTTTAGTTTATTAGAAACATTTGTATTGAGAACAAAACAATATCTTACATGTTGGCATCCCTGCAATTTTTAATTCTATTTAGAACAAATGTTTATCCGGCATATTTCTAGTGTAAATGACCATAGAAGTTGTGTATAATACAGTTATATGGAATATAGATTACATCACTAACTTCTCTCAATTTTAATTTTATTTATAAATATTCTTTTATTGATCTTCATTGTTTTATTCTGTAAGTATATAATTTTTAATTTAAGCCTTTTAAATTCCTTTTTTTTTTAAATTAAAAATGTGCTTATTTTTGATAAAAATATTTAAAACTATGTTTAGTGCCAATTTCATGTTCTTCACCTGCCGTTCTAAAAATGAATAGTGTATTTTTAATTTTAAAAAAATTATTGCAAAATTTTTGTTTAAATTTTAAAAAGTTCTATAAGCAATAAAATATTACAAGCGTATGTGTAGTATACCTGCTCGCAATAAGTTTTAAAAAATAATTAAAAGTATATTTCTATTTGTGTTTAAAAACCTGACTAATTAGATGCTCTTTATGAAGGATTTGACATAATAATATTTGCATCTTATTGTTAATGTAATAAATATAATAATTGATAATAAATATAATAACTATTGACAAATGCATATTTACCCACTTGTTCCAGGTTTTTGGTACCCTTTTATTTTGGATATTTAGAATGGTAAATTTTATGATCTAGCATTTTATTATTGATTAAACAAATTTAATTTTGAATGATTTTTTCTTCCACTATATATAAACAACTTAAACTGATATATAAAACGTATTAGTTGTGCAGGGAAGTTTTTAAATCCTGTCAAAATTAGACAAATTAAGTTTACCTTAAATTGTTATTTGGCGACCGCTTAAAATATTCTGGGAAACTAGGGCTTCTGGGTTGGCAGCTATGTGATAAAAAATTTTTTGCTATTATAAATTTGATTTATTAATTGGTCTTGTAAATCAAAGTAGTAATAATCTGGTAAATGGCTAAGTAAGTAATACAATTTAGACTTAAATCTAGCAAAAGTTACAAATGTTTCTTTAAAAAAGAATACTCTTTCTAATCAGTTATAATGAATTATAACCAGCTAAAATGATAAAAATTTTAGACCTATTCCAATCAAAGCTGTATATAATTACCATTTACTGCTTTCTAATTAATTTATTACATTAAGAGTTATAGGTATGAATTATTTATTAAATTTATAGCAATAAATTGTTCATTAATTTTATAGTAATGAATTTCAATTTAATTTTGTTTAGTTAATTTTTATTTTCTAAAAGAATTTATCAAAATATTTATTTCTTGAAATTTTTTTATGTTCATGATTAGGGTTATATTTTTTAAAAACTTTTAGCATGCATATACAAGTTATGCATTAACTATCTGTGATTAAACTTATACCTATTACTTTAAAACATAAAAGTTCAGAATAATATGTTAATAACTGTTCAATAACTTAAGTGTGTTATTATTACATCCAAAATGCACGCAAACTTATAATTTAATCTGCATTTTTTTTCTTTTATAGATAATGCTTTATTAAAACTTTATCAGAAAGGGTTTTATGACAAATTGAGTGAATTGAAAGTTGTGTCTATTAATTTAGTTTCTGGAAATTTGTCTGTCACTTATCATATAATACTTTTTTATGATAATATGTTATATGATAATACATTTGTCACTTATCATATAATATGATGAAAAGTGAATGAGTAATTGTGTGTCTGTGATAACCAATTTAGCAATATTCTTGTCACTCAGAAACAATGTAGTAACAATGTATAAACAATAGAGTCATATTAGGTAATTCTTGTAGTCATTCAATCTTAAATTAAATTGTACAAAATCGTTGAAATTAATTATTTTTATCTCAATAATAAAGTAGTGTTTTAAGCATGGTTGGCAATTTGATCCAAAAAAAGTATATTTTTATAAAGTGGTTAAAACTTTTAAAAATACAAAATATGACTTATTTTAAATAGATTTGAAAATCTGGATTAAAATGCAAACCCCATATTATTATGACCTTTATTATACACTTATTATTTATGTATTATTTCAGAAGTAGCATAAAAAAAATATTCATTTTTACTTAGAAGTGTGTTTAATTGATAAAAATAAAAATTTATATTTTTTTTAAAATTCATTTTTAGAAATGTTAATTATATAGCAATTAATGTCTTGCAGGGATGAGATTCTTCCGCGGATTCGCGGATTTCCTCTTTTTTTCAGATTTTTCCATTTTTCCCGCTAATTTCCGCTGAAATTTTTTTTTGCACTAGTTAAAATATTTTATGAGGAATTTAATTTTCCGCGGAACGAAATCATTGAAGTCCTCCCTCTGAAGTTTGTCTAAAAATCATTTTCTTGGGAGAAAACTGGTTGACCTTTATATAGGGATTTGATTTTTTTTNTACTCTCATCCCTGGTCTTGAAACAATAAGTCACACTTGATTTTTTCTAGAAAAAGTTTAAAAACATTTTTGGTGCAAAATACCACATATTCCAAATAGGCAAAATAAGATGTTTCTGTGTATTAAATTATTGTTTCATGAAAATACGAGAAGCGTAAAAAATAGTAATGATCTAAAAACAATGCTAAGTAATAGTTCCATGTAAAATTATCACTTTATGAAAAGAAAAAAAACTTGTTTTATGACATTAAATGCTGAAAGTAAAATTAATAATTGCTTTTATTAATTATTGGAAATTTCAATTATGTAACAATTACAAAGCTTAAGCAATAATAACGATAAGCCATATTTCTAAATATTTCAAGATAAGTTTTAAGGACATTTTTGGTGGGAAACACTACATTTTCCAAGTAAGCAATAAAATGTTTCCATACATTTGTGCTATTTCATGAAAATTCGCAAAACTTAAAAAGTAATCGAAAAACAAATTACAGATGTAAAATTATCATCTTATGAAAAAAAATGTTAAAAAAAATCACTTTATAATCTATTTAATTTTTCATAATTATTAGGTTATTGTTACTACATACAAAGAAAAATTAA